CACTGCCAGGGATCCAGGGGCAGCCACAGCTTCTCTGGGCACCCTGTGCCAGTGTTTTAAGCCCCTCTTGATAAAAATATTCTTTTTTTGTCACCTGATTTTCACAAAAGAGTAGAGTTTGTGTCCTCTGGGCTGAGGGCAAACCACATTAGAATGTGGCAGAGGGAAGGCAAGAGGGAAGRCAAGATTCAGGAAATTGCTCAGAACCCTGCTCAGCTCAGCTCAGGTTTTCAAAGCCACAAGGTGTGTGCTATTCATGTGGTTTCCAGTATGCAAGTGTTATTTACACTGACAGAGAGGGGAGAAAGAATAATAAAAATCAGGCAGGCAGGCAGAGCTGTGTAGAGTTTTCTTTTACTTTCTTTTTTTTTTTTTTTTTTTTTTTTTTTTGTAGCTTCCATCAAAGCCAGCTGCTGAGGTGTCTTTTATCAGCTTGCTTTGCTTTTTCTCACAGAGGTGATACTCAATAGCTGTTGCTGTCTCCTCGTGCTGYTTCTCAGCCATCCAGGCACTCTTCAAGCCTCATGCAGACTTTCTTGAGCGCCTTTGCCCGTGAAGTTCAGCAAACTTTGCAATCAAACACAACAGGAGGTGTTGACTCAGTGTTACCTTGGAGCTTTTCATAGTTCTGAGCTACCAAGAGCCCCAGTTCGAGCTGGTTCCAGCAGCATCCTGGTTACTGGTCATGGGAAGATCACTGCTGTTTAAATTTGCTCGTGTTTTCTCAGACAGTGCTTTGGTTAGAAAATGTGTCCTGTTTTTTTCATCTCTGGGCTATTTTTTTTTTAAACAAGTGATTTGAGTTTTCCACTTGCTGCTGATTGTGTCATGTGAAGCATTAGAATTTGGCTGAAGCACAGCACCACGATCAATGATTTGRAGATTCTGCTCTGTCAGGTCACAGGGCAGAGGAAGGGCTGTACTGGAGCCCTTTTATTCATGGTAAATGCTAAGGGCACTCAGTTGTCTTTATTTTAGATTTCTTCCCCCCTCCCTTGCCCTCCAAGATTCTTTTGAGGTTATTGCTTGTATGCTTAAAAAAGGGAGCAGGTGCATCAAACCTCATGATGATCTCAAACTTTTGTGTTCCATTTAAAACAGAAGTTGCTTTTTGGTTCCTGTATATTTCCAGGTGTTTCTGCATTAGTAACACTCCTCCCAGAGTAGGGGGGCTGAAATTTTAGCACAAAAAAACCCAAACACCGTTCATTTCAGTAACAGATTCCATTCTTATGAAAGGCTTGGTGAAGGACAGAAGAAATAAATAAAGGTTATTACTAACCAAGATTTTGGGGCAGGATTACTGCAGAGAGACATGGYGGAAATTTGGGTGAGATTTTCTGCCTGGTGGTGATTTGCTTTTCCGTCTGCAGAGCCGCCCACCCCGATCGCCCCGCCAGAGCTGCTGGCCGTGGGAGCCACCTACCTGTGGATCAAACCCAACGCCAACTCCATCATCGGCGACGGGCCCATCATCCTCAAGGAGGTGGAGTACAGGACCACCACGGGCAACTGGGCTGAGACACACATCGTGGACTCTCCCAACTACAAACTGTGGCACCTGGACCCYGAYGTGGAGTAYGAGATCCGYGTGCTGCTGACGCGCCCYGGGGARGGGGGCACAGGACCCCCGGGGCCGCCCCTCACCACCAGAACCAAGTGTGCAGGTAAGGGATCTGCTAAACCAGTGCTCTCCCAAACGTCCTTGGTGCTTCCTCAGTGATCTGAGCTGATATTGTGAACTTTGGTGCATCCTGGAGTGTTTTGTATCAGTCCGCAGGCTGTTGGTTTTATGCTCGTGGTTTATCTGACAAAGTTTTTTGGCTGCTTTCTGCTGGAACAGGCGACCAGCTGAGAGTTTTCTGACCAGTCCTCCAGCAGAAAAATTGTTCTTAAGACAAGGCCGTGATAAAATTTTCACCTTTGAGTGCATAACAAAATTTGTGTTGTTCTTGGGCCGTGGATCTGCCGTGGTTATTAATAAATTGATGCTGATATCAGTTTGAGCACACTGCAGTGAAGGAGAATGCGTTTAATTTTTAAAATACATTTTTGTGCTGCATTCGATGGAACGGATTCCTCCCCTCATTTCTGACAAAGGACTGTGTTCAAACACTCTGCAGCATCCTCCTTTTCYCTTTCATATTGGAATGGATCAATTTTGATCTGGGAACAGACGTACTCTATCTTCTTTCTAAGCCATATTGGACTTCCCGTGAAAAACAGACGGATTGCGCTGCTCATGTTTCAGAGATATTGGCTATTCATCCTGCTGTCATCCATTAATCATTAGCCATTAAGGGAAATCAAGCCCTGTGCCTGGCRAAGGGGATGAGCAAAACACTTTTTCTGCCTCACAGGTTTTTTTTCCACTGCACAACTTTATTCTCTTACCTTTTTGTAATTTCTGCAAGGTCCTTACTGTGGTGTGAACAAAGAGCACAGATTAAAAAGCTGCTCTCTTTTTGCCACAACCTTCTTTCCCTCCCCACAAATCAGTGACTTAAAACAAGTGGATTTAAGTAGTGAAAAACTTAAAAGGATATTCTGCTTCCTGTCATTCTTTCTGACCAAACAGAAGTGTGAAGAAGACATCCAGAACAGCCAAAATCATCCTGGGRTGTGATTAAGCAGTGCAATATTAGTTTTCCTCACCCATTTTGTGGCAGGAACATCCGCAGGACCCTCATCTTCATCTACCAAGAGGGGAAGCCTTGCAGGTTGATTGTGCTGTGGGTAGCACATCCTTTATTATGCAGATTGTAAATTTAGTGAACATTTARTGCCCCTTGGAGAAGATTTGGTTAAAAAAAAAAAAAAAAAATCTGAGCATGAAGCCCTGTCATGGAGGCGTTTGCTTTATTCAGCAGCTGTCCTTTGGCAGCAGACAGATGTTTGGAGGCTTTGCTGCCGCTGTGTGGGAAGCACAAAGTGACATGGATGATGCCCTGGCCTGTTTGGAAAGATGGCACATGTTCTAATACCCATCTTCTGGCTTTTTGATCCTTCCCTAACATGGTCAAAATCTCTGACATCATCAGAAATAGCTGCAGAATCCCTGGCCTGGGACAGGGATTTCCAAATTTTGCTCAGATTTGGTTTGGAGTTGGTTTGTGGGCACTTTGAAAACACAATCTCTGCAGCAGCCAAATTTGCAAACTTCTCTGCCTTACCTGTACAGAGTGCTGGCTGTGGTTCAATTCAGGGGTTAAAATGAAAAAAAATAGTTGACTTTGTGCTTCATATTGTCTTGTGCTCTGTCCCAAATTGCTGAGTTTCCTTGCCCAGCTCAGGTATCGACTGACATCGAGAAGGATGAYGTGGATAATTTGTTCAAATTGGCAAAGCTGAGGCACTTTCTGGTTTCTATCCTATTTTACTAATGAAAATCTAACTGGAGAAGGTCATTCTGTTAATGTTAGCTGTCATCCAGGCCTTGTTGAGATTGATGGGGATGGCATTTATGTTTTGTTTAGGGCACTGGACGGGAGAAATTGCAATGATCTTGGTCTAAGCTTGGAGCAGGAGGAAGGGAGAGACTTAATAGCTAAAGATGTACAATTTCACCAAATGCCAGCTGAAATGATAGACAGGAAAATGCAACTCATTATTCCAATTTCCATATGTCATGGAACTCCTTCAAAACACCGTTTTGAGGGTAATTACACAAAACTTTCAYGGCGAAGGTTTTCAAAAATGTGCTGAACTGAGGAAACAGCTCTGCTGCCTTGATTTTCCTATGAGTTCCTAATGAATGACATCAGGGAAAATGGAGGGGATTTAAAACAGTTGAGGGATGAGTGCTGCTGCTTTTTTTCAAGTGAATATTTTGGTTTTTTCATTATTTATCTTCACTTCCTCTGAGAAAGAAGGAAGTTTGTATGCAACCGGTGGAGGGTTGTGTTGCCYGTTTTTACTGCACTATTTAGTGTTCTGCTGCATTTATTAAGGCCACAAATAAAGGTAACAAAATTGACTGCACGGGTAATAACAGAGAATATCACCTGGGCTGGAGCAGTGTTTACTTATTAAAATTGCTAGAAATCAGTGTAACAATAAACAGAAGGTGGCTGCTACCTTCTATCACTGGGAAGTCAATAACCCTTGCACTAAATACCCTCCTAGGCTCTTTTCACATTGAGATTGGATATTTTTTTTTGTTCTGGGGAACTGCTGGCATRGCCTTCAATTTAGGCATAAGTTGCAATGAGATTTTATTTCGAGATGAAAATAAAAAGGATTTGGGTAGGACCGTGCTTTTCTTCCACTTCAAATAAAGCAAGAGAAGCTCATTTCCACAGTTGCTCTCATCTGCTTTGTTTTTTGACTGTCAGCTTTGCATCAGACCAAAAACATGGCCAGGAGGGTCCACCTTSAGCTTAGACATCATGACAACTCTTACCAAAATAACTCATTAGTGTCAGATATTGATCAGACTGAGTGYGAGTTGTTTACATGGACTTGAAAGGTTTTTTTTTATTAGATAACCCCCCTAACCTAATTATGTAAGGTCCTGCTCTAAATGGACATAAAGAAGTTTTATTAAATTGGACAATACTTTAATTTCTATTAGCAGTATGTGCCCAGGATCTGTTACCCCACTGGTGATGCTTCTGGTGTTCTACATTACAAGACTTGATTGATACTTGATCTATAGAAATGATACCGAAAATGAAATCCCAGTTTACCTCCTTCAAGGAAAAGCCAATTGTCAGAAAACATGGCAAACCCTGCACAAATGATTGTTTGTTGGGGGTTTTGAGATTTGGATTTGGGTTTGTTTTTCTCATGGACTGTGATAGGTCATGACTTGGGACAGGAGAAGARGAAATGACCTTGAGGCATAAACCAGGAAAGTTCAGTCAGAGGGAAGGGCTGCTCAGCAGGGAATGGGGAGAAGACAGAGACTGCTTAAGGTTAAGACCAGACACAGGGGTGATGGCTGGTTAAAGGGAAGATGGATAGAAAATATTCGTTTTTATCCCCAAAATAATAGGTTGAGGAGATAACAGGATTAGGATCAAGTGTTTGAACACAGCTCCCAATAGTGCCTGGTATTCAGCCCCGTTTTCTAAGTGTGGGGTCTTTTTAGCCAACCTCTATAGATAAACAGAGCTCTTTAAAATCCTTGTTCCATGGCCTTTGTTCACAGAAGTGTGCTTTTGGGAAGCTTGAGGCTTATTTTCTTCTCTGTGTTTATTGACTATTCCCCTGCTTTTCTTTTTTCTTTATTCTCTTTCTTCAGTTTTCACAGAAAGGCAGAATAGGGGGAAAGTTTTTAGCTCTGGTGGATGGGAAAAAGGGAAAAGTTTGCAACTGAGGTCATCATAATGCAGGGGATCTCATCTGAAAATTGCTGGCCTTCTAGAGGGGCAAACTCCAAYGTAAAACAAGGCCAGAGAGTCACTTTAAAATGAATGTTAACAAAGGGACAGAAAAAAGTCTTATTTTACAATWAATACTTAGTCCTGATTAAAATACTGTCTGGAAAAACTGCCTTGAACATTTGCATTCCATCAGCTTCATGAGARTATTGGCTGATCTTCATTAGTTGTTCAGACTAAACAAAAGGAGCACCAGGGGAACCTTACCACTGTCCAAAACTCCCTGAAAAGTGATTTTAGCCAGGTGGGGGGATTGGGCTCTGCTCCCAGGGAGCAAGCAGCATAACGAGAAGAAACGGCCTCAAAATGCATTAGGGGAGGTTTAAATTGGGTATTGGGACAAAATTCCTTACTGAAAGGGTTTCAAGCATTGGAACAGGACAGGCATCCATCCCTGGAAGTGTTCAAAGTGTGGATGTGGCTCTTGGGGAYGTGGTTTGGTGGTGAYCAWKGTGGTGCTGGGTTAATGTTGGACCCTGATCTTAGAGGGYTTTTCCAGCCTTGATGAATTTATAATTTTCTGCCTTTTTGGATGATAACAACAGGTGATTTGTAAAATRAGATGGKTTTTATGACCTGGTGGCTTGGAAGMAGGAAACTGTTCAGCCTGACAGGAGAATGGCTTGGTAAGGAATGGGAGGGGAGGAAAAGCACTGAGAAACCCCATCACCAACCCCCTGAAAAAAGTGGGGCACTGATTCTTCATGAAGCAGGTTTGTGATAATGGGAAATTTGTCCTGGTATGAAAAATCCCCACAGCTCACACGCAGATTTTCTCTTCAGATAACCTGCCTTAATCAGCACTGAGTGATTTAACTCCTGCAAAAGGAGCAGTTGTCAAGATCAATACTCAATTTTTGGTGTTGGCCTAGGGAAATAAAAGTTAGTCTTGAATTGAATACTCCTTTTAAAAACAGCCTGGGTAAAGTGGCTGATACAAATGCAAATGATCTGAAAATCCAGAGTTTCATATGGTGCTGCCGAGTAGTTGGAAAACTTTTTCCTCTGGTTGTTGYTAACAGGTATTTTGTTGCCATGAAATCAAGTGAAGTTTACCAGTAGTAAGCAGCTTTTACCATTTTTTGTTGTTTTAAGACAATAGTTTAAAATTTATAGAAATACTTTTTGTCTTTTGCTCTATTACAGATGTTAGAAAAAAGGGGGGTGTTTGCACRTTGTGCTGAAATGTATGAAAAAACACAAATGTGTGCACTGGGTTAGCATGAGTTCAAAAACATTTCTCTCTGGTTTAATTTTAAGGTGACACCTCCCATTAAAATAGA